TCGATACGATCCCGAAGCCCATAAGACCAAGAAACCACACGCATCAACGCGGATATCAAAGTCGTGCTGTCGTGACCCTCAGCCACAGGGACACCAGTACGTATTCCCGAGTCTTTCTTTACCCCCTAAAATGCTTTTGTCTGTTCCTAGAGCCCTCAAGTTAATACGGCCTCTATCTTGAGCGGCGTATCTCTAATAGATGACTGCATATAGGGTCAGAGAGTTGAAGAGAATGTTCGAGAAATCACTACATAGTGTGGCAGAAAACGGCCGCCTTTTTTCCTCCGGATTGTTCGAACCCCCGAAACTGGAGACGGCGACACTGACCTGGGTTTATACGGGTTTCAGCTACGGCGACTATTCTTGACGACGAATTGCAACCCCCTGGTAGCGACTCATGACCTCAACTGGGTTTTGAGCCCGACTTACTAAACATCTTCAAACTCGAACATGTCGCGCTAAACAGACATATAATTGTGATTGGATGAGAATGTATTTCTTCTCAATTGACTAGGAATGGTTGCAGTTCATTCTATAGATTTCAATGCGATCAAATCGAACTACTACCCGTACTGGACCTGTGCCTCAGAAACTTGGTCGGGTGTAAGCCATGCAGTTTCCCCCCGAGTCCCAAAAATAAGGATTGGGCAAATCTTATCTCCATTGCACCATTTCTAGCAAGCATAAGGCGTGAATGTGCAATTATTAATATCAATATTCAGACATGTGCGAAGTAGAAGGTAAGATCTGCTTTGTCAATTTTTCGAGCAAGATCAGGCTGTTGTCGCGTTTCTAGCTGGCCGGACATACACGGATGGATATACACCCGCAACACTTACGGATGTAGAGACTGTCTTCCAACTTCCGATCCTTTATTAAAGTGACAGCAACGTAGGTTATCCTCATTTCGAGACTCCTATAAGTCGTGGGACCATCACAAAACCACTTATCAACAGCAGCGAGATCCTATACCAACCATTCCTACCACTTTGCATCCTCGCAGCTCAGAACTGCGGTGCCTATCCGGATGTCTCTGTACGCGGAATTCTTCATTCGACTCTTCTAAGCATTGTTCTCTAGCTAGCGATGTACTAGCATGTTTTGTATGCTTTATTTGCTACAACCTATCGTCTTTCCCAGACCAATGCGATGACTCCCGTGGAGCTGGACCCTCTGAGCACTAAAGTCAGCGATGGAGATCAAGGATGACCCCTGTACGAGAGGACTATTAGTGATAGAAAGATCTTATGTCTTCCCTTCGCTGCTGAAGATGAGAATGGTCATCAAGAATTACAAGTTTACGAGCAGGACCTTATCGCCTCTGCTCATAGCAGCTCTTAAAGGATTAGGGGCAGTTCTTTAGATTATAGTCGCGACAAGTGGAATGACATTGTCTATTTCGATTTCGATACTATGAAGGAGCTTTAGCTCTACTAGACTAAACCACTTCATCAAGTCAGAGATGTTACGACAGTTGCTATTCATGAGCAATGTTTCTACACCCGGGAAGGACTGAAGGACAGCCTCATGAGCGCTTACAGCAGGCTGCGCGACATTGAGAGAATCATAATCACCTTGATCACGACTATGCCCTTGCAACAGTCAGCGATAGTTGTTACCGAGCACTACCATATGGTTTCTACAACATGCCTCACAAAACCCTGCTTGAATACGAGGACGAGATAGTTAATTGGTGAACCATCGGTAGGGAATTCCAGTAGATGGTCCGAAACCAATTGTACTGGAGAGATCTTCATCTACCACCTCAGCTCCCCGGGCTGATGTGCGATCTTTCCACACCACTTCACTATATGCTGGATGCTATTCCGGCTGTAAGAGCCGTTGAAACTTCGTGAGCACTCGTTCTGGTATTTATGGAGTAATGCTGTCGACGAATACGGAGGATGGCCGATAGAATCATTGACAGTAGACCCGGGAGCGATCGGAGGCTTCTCGTGATACTCAAGAGGGAGGATTTCACCCTCGGCGATGATCATGGTGGGAAAACAGGCGATACAAGCGTGTGCTAGGTGTAGATGGCTCGGAATGAACAAATAGCATATACTCGGCCACATAGCAGGTAGGTAGAAGAGGCCAGTGCCATAAAGTATATCAGTCAAATAGCTTCTGAGAGGCCACCTGAGTAGAGAGGGTGTGACCCGGAAAATAAAAACGTTCCCAGCTAAGTTCATCTGTAGTGTATATGTGGCCTAGTCTCCTAACAACGTGGATGACAAGACAGCGTATCTGACTACCCCTGACGGTGGATTCTGTGTGCCGGGGCCCTCATGCTTTGGGTAGAGGGGAAGACACCTGTGTTGCGTGTTGTCTCGAAACATTTTCTTGCAAACTTCCCGGCTCTGGCTCACTGGCTGATGACCCAGCTATATGTCCCCTTCTCCTAGAAGTCTTCCTATCTACCAATCGCTCCTCGCAGTGTGCTCCGTAGATAGGCCCTCGCTCCTGCGTGGCTGTACTAGAAGCTACCCAGATAGTTGTGTGGGTAGAATGGTTCTCATCAAAATGTAGGCTGTAACGAAACAGAAGGTCAAGTATTGCAGAGTGTATGGTCATCTCGCTCGGGAGAACTAACTTCTTTCGCTCTGCTCTACCGCTTTTTCTTCATTGAGTGTCAAGGGTATCTATCCCAGAGTAGATGGATAGCCTAAGCAGTCACATAGCAGGTAGGTAGAAAGGGGTCAGTAGCCATGAAGGTGTATTGGTCAAATGGCCCCTAGCCCTCCCAACTAGTAGTTGGGGGGGATAGCCCGTATATATAGACCCAGCCTTATAGGCACACACTAGGGCGTCACCTATCTACCTGACAGAGTCTATATATGTAGTTGGTTAGTTCGTATTCCGGAGCTGTTGCGGTGCCATGCTACCTTGTGGCTCAAAGAGGCAATGTCTGCTTCAGTGATGCTGTGGAGGACTGTTAGCTGTGTCTTGGCTGCTGAACTTGCGTTGATGATATTGATGAGGGGGTGCAGTGCTAGGCGATAGGACATACAAGGGGATAAAGGAACTCTCTGTATAGAGGCAAGTGCAGACCCTCATTGAAGTCTTTTGAACCGTAGCATGAACGAAGAATGTACCGGACAGCAATTTCGAGATTTAAGAGGCTGCGGGGCTCTCGACAATCATTAGACGCGATTGTGGTATTGGTGTTGTAGAGTGATGGATCGCAGTAGCGGCACAGCCGCGAGAAGTCGATCGGGATTGAGATAGAAGGTCTTCAGACCGCCTTGCGGAGCGAGATTTTCGAACGTTTACCTAGGCATTGCTGTCAGTTTTAAGTCTGGTCTTCAGGTAAGAGACATCACTAACTTACCAACGAGAACAGCAAGTCGCCCACAGCAACAAGCACGAGCGTAATATGCCTTTCCCTCCAAGATACGGGTCGCCAAACGATCCATGAACCAAACCCTAATATGCCACTCACACTAGCATACCAGATCTCCCAGAGCAACGAGCACATGCGTAATATGCCATATGCCTCCAAGACACAGGTCGCCAAACGTTCCACGAACCAGACCTTAATATGCTATCCCCTCCAGCATACCAAGATGCCTAAAGCACGAGCACAAGCATAATATGCCTCTCCCTCCATGTCTATACCGGGCTGAGCAAAGCACAGGTACCCCCTTCCCCGTCTCCAAGAAAGCCTATGATATGCCACTTCCTCCTCAGCCCAGGCGAAGAAATATATGAAGGCCAATATCCTGTGAGGCATCAGGAGGAGGCACATTCATACCTTCATCTGGCATAGACACAGTGAATTCTAGAGCGTATTAAGGCCTTGCAGAAGCAGAGACCGGGCTCATAAAATCAGTTCAGGAGCTTTCCAAGGCCATGTCGAAGCAAAGCCCGGGCTCGAGAAGAAAATCACCTGTCCTCGGACTGGTGCACTGCCCTCAGGTGTGACGTCTCTTATACTGCCAATGAACTGACTCGTATCTCATAAAGAAATATACTTTTCTACCGGAACGAAACAAGTTCTTTTCGGAGGACACTTATGACAGTGTACCTACTACCGTGCTAAGTAGCCATCCCCCAATACAGAATATATGGGGTGTCGGTCTACCCAGGTGGTCTCCTTACAGTTAAGACCAACAACAAGGACCTCTGTGAGGTACCTATTTGAAAGGCCAGGGACTAAGAGGCCAATACGCTTTCATGGCTACTGACACCCTCTACTATTTACTTGCTACGTGACTGCGTAGGACTAATCATCCTGACAAATGCGAAGCGACTACACCCAGACTGGCACAGTAAGTTGCCTATATAGTCCGTGTTTATTCGGCATATCATAACGTTATTTAAGTTGCTTATTTCTATCTTATGAGTCCCAATAGTAAGGTTTATCACAGTAGAATATTTATTTATGCGGGCGTGCGAGTGTTAAAAATTGTCTTGTGATCCTGGTATAGCGAGCCCCGATCTTACACCTTATGCTAGATCTAAGGCCCTGAATTAACCTCAACTCAATTCATGGTTTATAAATAGAGTCTCAGTCATTTAGGCAATTAGGTAAGCCCCTTATATGTTTATCTTATGATAATCTATCTTACTAGTATAGCTCTTACGTTAAGATGGACTAAGACGGACTTGCCGTGGTGGAGGTTATATAGTCTAGCTATTATTTCGTAGGCTATCGCTTCCATCTTTAAATTCTTGTCTCATGTGTTGAATTATAGTTATTATTGTATAGGCCTATGTTGCCCTCGCTACTCGCTTTCTGCCTATGTGGTCGTGTATTAAGACATATCAGTTCACTGAGTCTGAAAGTAACAATGATGAGCTCTCTTCGAAGGTGACAACGGACACAGACTAACCTGTTTCTGACCCCGGTCGGTACCACTTAACTTAGCTTATTTAGGAATCGTTGGTGGCACGCAAACCTGAATCTGGACTGGCCCATGTACCTTGCCGCCACCCGTCCCCACACCCCTGAGGCATATTATTTTCTACTTTAAAATCTCAACCATTCATCAATTAAAGGCCAGGTGGCAGAGTGGTTAATGCGCCAGACTCGAATTAAAAGCTATTTAAAGCCTTTTATCGTTAATCTGGTTCCTTCGGGAGCGTCTGTTCGAATCAGGCCCTGGTCGGCCACCATATGGATTCAACTTTTTGGTCACCTGGTCCCCAGCAAAGGTACACCAAGCCCCCTCTTTGCTTTGCTTTTATGAACATAGCTGATCATTCCTTTATCTAACGCTATTAGCTCTGCCAATAAGATAGGTTATTAAGTTGAAGTTTTGTTGGAGCCTCCAATATCAGGGGCAAAGCTGGGTGCTTTCCACGACCCTCAACCTCACCTAATGAGGATGAGCACAAGAATCTAAATCGCTATTACAACTCTCAGTTAAACTTGAATACCTAATGAAAAGAACTGATCATTTTCGTATAGTACGTTTATACATTCTTATAGGATGACAGGCCGACACGCCGTGTATTCAGAATCGCTCGGTATGATTGCGACCCGAGGTATGTTAGTGGAGAGCTCAGGGTCAGGGGGTTGGGCCTTACAATGTACCTTGTATTATATCGTGATATCTGAATTGAGCTGTCCTGTCCGCTAAACCTAGATCAAGCCAATCTTATGTAGCCTCGGAATAATGCTGTTAGTTTAACATGCAGTAGTGTCACACCCAATTGGTGGTATACACGCAATGTCCCCCTTATACACCGTCGGACTAACTCCCCTCTAGCTCAAGGCGATTACTTACCTACCTCAACCATTAGTCTTAAAGCTCCAATCTGTAGAATCTTTTATCATGATATAATGACCCATCTCCCCTCGAAATGGTCTTTCACGGCGACTCTGGTAGAATCCCGAAGCGAGAAAGTCCTTTCTTGTTCAGCAGATACAACAGCAACCGCGTATAGAGACCATCGACCCGATATGTTACACGCGTATCGGCGTAGGGCCGGCAGCACCGGGTAGAATCAATGCGATCTGGGCGAGCATGTTGGCACCGGACCTTGGGGTTACGATTTGGCTGACTGGCCACACGTTACGGAACGCGTCGCGTAGGAGTACAGCGACGATGATGCGGATGATTCTTTCGTGACGCTGGATCCTGGCAAGTCGTGGACAACGAAGCGATGCATGGAGGACAGAGAATGGAGTATCCTGCCGCTCGATACCTCGCCTGGCGATGTCTACCGGTACGCCTTCCATAGCTCTGTCGTGGACTAGCGGGGCTGGGGCCGCAAGACGCTCGAGCACAGAGATACCGTCGTCACGGTTCTCTGTGTACGCGAGACGAGGTCGTGGAACCACCGGATGACAATGGACGGCCCATGGTCGTTATGCCGAGTTCGGGGACTGTGGAATTTACGGTCATCAATGCGGATGAGGATTCTGAAATGCTTAAAGACTCTACCATATAAGCCATTTTCGTTGCTGTCCCTTTCTTACAGGATTCTACTTTATATTGACGGATTTAGCCGATCACGCACATGTGTGTATCTGGTTGGAACCTATATATAAGCTACCCATATAGGTAACTGAATAGAGTATATACACGGTGACTTGAATTACATTTACTTCTTGTTCTCTTAAATACTATCATTTTCCAGAGGACCCTACACGTCCTCCATTTGAGTGCTGGTCAATCCTTCTTATTCATTTACTCCTCTCTGTTGTCACCTTGACAGCAACGGCTCCCTCTCACCAGCATCAGCGGTAAGACCGCCATCAGATTCACGCGGTCGGTGCGACCACCATACGGCCACAAAAAATAGCACAGCTTGCGCCAGAGCGAAGACCGCATAATCCACCGGTACGAAGCCGACCAGACTGTACCACGCCTTGAAATATGTGACTGGAGAGCCGAGATCCTCTGGAAATACGAGCCGACCGGGCCACCACGTCGCCCCTACCACGGCGAAGACGACGGCTTGCGCGGCGAGCGTCGGTACACTCAGAGCCCCGGTACCGGAGCCTCGAGGCAGAGCCAGGATGGTGCGCACCTGAATTGGCAGAGCGGCGGCGGCAAGTAGGGTAATCAGGGGTGCGAGGAATAAGGTGTGACAGCCGTGGAAGAGGGCCGCGAACCACCGATCCGCATTCGGAGAGTCAGGGTGGCGGTAGGAAAGCAAAGCGTTGAAAAAAGCCGGTAGGACTGAGATGAGAAGGTAGGATGTGTATAATGCCACGACGGTAGCGTTTCGCCACCGCTTTTCAGGATGAGAGAAGTAGATGGAGAGGACGAAGCTGAATGGAGATGAAGTGGGGAAGCAGTTAGTCGTCATTACTTTTTCATATTATCAATAAGTTGACTTATTAATTATAAGTAGGCACACACATGAGAAGCCACAGAGCGCAGACATCCGTGAACTGAGCCAGGTTTAACCAGTCGCCTACGTCGGGTGGATCGTGGACAAAGACATCGGAACCGTCAGCCTGATTCGTGACGAAGAAGAAGGAGAGCGTGAATAGCTCCGTTGACACGACAAGGTTAAAGAACACATAGTAGATGCTTATGCCTGACACGTCCCGGCGGCGGAAGAGAGCTAGAACCTGAGGCAGGAAAGTGATGCGGGTTAGGATCAACAAGAAACTATGACCAGAGTTATTCGGTTTGTCAGCTATTCAATTCTATCTGATGAAGAAATGAATGATAATATGAGTGAGTGAGTGACACAGTCTAGACTCTCAAAAATACGCACATTCTAAGCCAGTTCGGCATGTTATACGGCGTCATCTTGCTCGCGGAGATGGAGGGACTGCCTTGGGTGAAAGAGGTGTTGAGAAATGAAACAATTTGAATAATGCAACTCAAAATGCGAAAGCAAAAAACCTTCAATGTGATTAGAATGTTGCTGCCTAACCAAAGCTGACACTTAGACTTACGGTATACATTCCCTGTAAGATCCGGGCCGCATGCATGTGTGGCACAGTCGCCTTGCAACCGATAGAATTTAGAATATTCAACATCATGAGATGGCCAACACTGTTCGAGGATGGAACGTAGGTATGCAGCTACTCTCAACCCTATTCACAGCAGGGCTTCTTTTGCCTTACTATGCATACCTGTATACCCGTCGACTTCCCCGACAGCACGTGCGCTGGGGTGAAGGATCAGAGTACGGAGGAAATGGATTGGGCCTATACGCCGTATGAAGACTACTATAAGGTTCGTTGGGCTTATCCAATATGCTATGAAATGGTTTATCATAGGGCGATGCCTTGGTATAACACAATACCACTCCTTCTGTCAGGGGCTGCAAAATAGAGAGGCTCGCTGTCTAGATACTATCGAGAAACGGTAGCGACCTATTAAAGGTAGTGATATTCTCAACAGCCGTGAAAGAAGGGAAGCCTCTTTTGTGATAGCAGATAAAATGAGCACTTGTTTGAGGAAACAATCGGTAGTATAGGATATGCCGGCTCTCATATAAGCAGGTGTTTCTATCGTATTCATTTGCTTAAAATGGGCTAAATACCATGTTCATAACCCCTAAATTCATTCCAATAAGTTTTTGAAGGCTAACGCAGTAAACCAGAAGCCTCAATCAACGTCATCAATAGTATTTATTTGCCAGAGGACTCGCCTTGCCGATGCATGGCCTTCACCCGCCTCCGAACCCACTCCTCGCACCTAATCTCGTCATACTTCTTCTCCTCGCCCTCAGCAACGCAGTTATCGAGCACGCCGCAGCTCTCATTCAGATTGAATCCAAAGAAGAATGCCATGCTGACTCTCTCGTTACCGCTATAGTTCTGGACGCGGTGCACGGTACTCACGTAGCGATCGTTTGTGATGCGCTGCATGTAGTCCGCCATGTTGACGACGAATGTACCAAGGATGGGTTTGGCGTTAATCCACTGGCCTTGACGATTCAGCACTTGAAGTCCCCCGTTGTTATCCTGCCACAGCATCGTGAAGAGCTGGAAGTCTGTATGTGAGCCGATAGAGACCTCTGCTTCCTCTTGCTCTGCTCCTGCCTTTCGCGGCGGCGGAGCGGGTAAAGGGGGATAGTAGTTCAGTGCCAGGGCGGCATCCGGGTGTGTGAACTTCTCCGCGAAAAAGTCCTCGGGCAGATCGAGCGACAGCGCGAAGCACCGCACGAGCGTCCGCGCCACGGAAAGGCATGAACGCCAATAACGCACGATGGCCTCTTTGAGTTGAGGCCGGTTGGCCGTAGCCTCCCAATGGAAGTCCTCACATCTCAGGTACCGGGCGATGTGAGGCGGAATGGCAGCCGGGTCGGGAACCGAAGGGTCGTACCTCGGGTCATAAGTCCAGGAGAAAGTCTCACGCACGTCGACCGACTCGAATGGGTTGATGCGCTGCGACTTCGCCGGCTTATAGCCGTTGAAGTACTTAGATTGGCTCACGTGGGCGCGTTCTTTGATCTCTTGCGGCTGCCGAAAGAACCCGCGGAGCTCCTCGCAGGCCGTCTCCGGTACTTCGAGTGGTATGCCATGATTCTCAATGTAGAAGAACCCGCTGTTTGTGGCGGCATCTCGAATCTGACGAGCCACTTCGAGGCGGGCGTCTTTCGAGTCGCTGAAAATCCCAGAGACGTTGATGACGGGGATCTCCGATGGGAGGGCATCACGTAGAGGCGTCTTCAGAACAGTTCTGGAGACTGGGCCGTTGCCGGAGGAGAAGCGTAACTGGGTTGTGGGAATGTCCCCAGGAATTTGGATTGTATCAGTGGCGATGGAACCCATCGATCAGATCTTGTCTCTCACTTATAATGTTGTATGCAAGGGCGAGACAGACGCGATGCCTGACAGTCAGGAATGTAACATGTGTAGATTACAGAAGCTTGTCTACAAGCTTCACTGTGTATCAGGAAAAGCAAAAAGAAAAATAAATTAACCATGTCAAGCTAGATAACATTGTGAACCAATCTATGCAAGGGTATCTGCCGAGGTGATGTAACAATTAACATGCAGTCCTACCAACAACCCCAATGTGGTGTAATAATTAAGTGTAAAATACGGCGCAAAATACTAACATGTAATTACTACTCCATCTCAAAATTGTTAGTGGAGGTGCATGTTAATTGTTATATTCCCTCGTCTGCCTTCAGAGTGAGCGAAGCCGGCGATCTCCGCATCTAAGTGGCGTTCCGACAAGCATGGCCA